TAGCTTCTCCAGGTCCAGGGTTCTGGCTGCATCAGGGTAGGTCTATGTGGCTTCTCCTCAGGGATGTCTCACAGGAAGTGAGCAGAGAGAGAATCTCCAAGGAAGTGAGCTGAGAGAGAGTCTGTCTCCTGCCTCCAAGGAGGAAATCCAGGAATGTCAAGAATTCTCAGAAGGTCATGCCCACACAGAGGCCTCATTGGCTATGATCCAATTGACAGACTAGACTCCACTCCTTCCCTCTTAGCCCTATCAAGTCCCAAATTGACACCATATTGTGTAACTACCGCAGTGGATGTCAGAAAATACTCTGAAACTTGCTCTGCATCTTACAGTACCTAGGGCAAATGGAAGAAAGGGTGATGTCAAAGGACTGAACAAAAGAGCCTCAAGGGCAGCTCCAGAAGACAAAGTAAAATATTATAATGAAATGTACAAAGACTAAGAGTCAGAAAAGCAAAAAAGAAGAACACGCACAGCATTATCTTAAACTGAAAGAACTGAAGAAAATACTCAAGCCTTGAGTTGCAAGATTGAAAGACTGAATGATGCAGGAAGCACCAGAAGAAGATGGGAAGAAAACACAGAGTCACTGTACCAAAAAGAGCTGATTGACATTCAACCATTTCAAGAGGTAGTATACAATCAAAAACCAATGGTACTGAAGGAAGAAATTCAAGCTGCACTGAAGCCATTAGCTAACAAAAGGCTTCAGGCATTGACAGAATACCAATGGAAATGTTTTGACAAGCTGATGAAGCACTGAAAGCACTTATTCATCTATGCCAAGATTTTTGGAAGACAGCTACCTGGCCAACTGACTGTAAGAGAACTATATTTGGACTCATTTCAAAGAAAGGTGACCTAATAGAATATACAAATTATAGAACAATACCATTGATATCACATGCAAGTAAAATTTGGCTGAAGATCATTCAACAATGGTTACAACAGAACGCTGACAGGGAGCTGTCAACATCTGTGTGTGTCCTGGTGTGCCTATGTGTATCATCGTATGTGCCTATGTGTATGCCTGTATTGTCTGTTCATGTGTCTGTGTGTGTCTCTGTGTCCTTATGTGCCTGTGTGTATTATAGTGTGTGCCTATGTCTGCCTGTACCACAATGTGTCTGTGTGTCTTGGTGTGTCCTTATGTGCCTGTGTGCATTACAGTGTGTGCCAGTGTGTATCTTTGTGTGTGCCTCTGTGTCTATAGTAAGCCTGTGCATCTGTGTGTGCCAACAGGTATGGCTTTGTGCGTCTCCGTGTATCTGTACGTCTGTGTATTTGTGGGTACACCTCTGTGTGTGTGCCTGTTTTTCTGTATGTATCTCTGTATGTGTCTTTATGTGTGCATAAGTGTGTGTTTCTCTATGCCTGTGTAAGTCTCTGTGTATAAAACTGTGAGAAGGTCATCGTATATCTCCCGTGGTTTCTGTATTGCCATGGGGCAGAGATCAGGCATGCTTTTCACCCTCCACCCTTCTTGACCTATTCCAATATCAATCATTCCCCCCATGACTCTCTACTTCTAAGCTGGGTTCAATAATGCATTGTAATGGCTACATAGAACTCTCAGACAATACTTAAAAATAAGGAAGGGGGTGGTGCTTATTAGGGAAGTTAACAGGTTACCACAGCCAGGATCAGAAAACAGTAAGGATACAATCATTGGTCCACAGAAACACCTCTCTTTAAACAGAAGCCAAGTCTCTGTTTAGTCCTTAGGCTTGCAGTTCCTTAGCCTATGCCTCTGTGGGTCAGGAAGCCAGCTCACTGCTGCCTCATAGTCTCATAGTCTTGGCTCTACTTCTCTGTTCTGTCTCATGGTCTCCTTGCCTCAGCCTGCTCCTTTGCCCTATCCCATGCACTATCTCTTTCCTCAGCCTGCTCCTTTGCTCTATCTTCACTGCAGCCTCTGGTGATTTGATCTTGACGTGATACAGCCCACCTTAATTCTATCCATTAGCATAGAAGAGAATTCTCTCCAAAATGGGATTATAACAACAGAGATAGAGCCTAGACTTTACAGCGGACAATGTAAGATATGAAAATAATAATAATTTATAATTTATCAAGGGTTCATGAGGAAAGGAGGGGAAATGAGGAGCTAATACCAAGGGCTCAAGTAGAAATAAAATATTTTGAAAATGATGTTGGCAACATGTACAAAAGTGCTTGACACAATGGATGGATGGATGGATGGATTGTGATAAAAGCTGCAAGAGCTACCAATAAAATCATTTTTTAAAATAAGTTGGATTCCTATATACTAATAGACAACTCTGAAAAGGAAATCAAGAAATCAGTAGAGGAATGGGAAGAAACTGGCTACCAAACAGAATGCATGGGAGAGATGGCTATAGGAGATCAAAATGATAAACTTGAATTGAATGGCTAAAACCTTGTCAGTTGATTTCCCCCTCTGATGTATGTTGGGCTTGATCTTGTTTTCAACATTTTCTGTGTTTTGTTTTATGTTCATATTGGGATTTTTCTCAGATGTATTTTGTCATTGGGGGTAACCCTCTTGAATTTTGTTATGTTTTTCAGTATATGAACCCCAGGAAGGGTGACCCTATAGAGACAGCAAGTAGAATAAGGGTTCCTGGGGGGTATTGTGGGTGTGTGTGTGTAAAAGGGAGCTGATACTAGGGGTTCAAGAAGGAATAGAATGTTTTGACAGATTGTGGTGGCTATTGTATAATACTGCTTGATGGGATAAAACTATGGAATGATATATCTGTATAAGCTCCCAATAAAATGCTTTTGGGGAAAAAATACTAGCATTTACAAGAGTGTGTTAGTCCTGGTAACCAGAGAAACAACTCCATAGAAACTCATATGTGTATAAGAGAGTTTTATGTAAAGGGTAATTGTACATTAAGAAAGCATTCCAAAAAAAAAATTAAAAAAGAAAGCATTCCAACCCAGTCCAGTCCAAGCCCATAAGTCTAATATTAGTCCATATGCCCAATACCAATCTATGAAGTCCTCATCAGACTCATGAAACACATGCAATGACACCAAATGCAGAATGACCACAGGCCAGTGGGTAGAAAGTCTTTGGATCCAGTAGTGTTGTAAGCATCTCAGCGCTGGCAGGTGTCTCCACGTGACTTCTCCAGCTTCTAGGGCTGCATCAGGGTAGGTCCATGTGGCTTCTCCTCAGGGATGCCTGGCAGGGAGTCATCAGAGAGAGAAAGTATCTCCCACTTCCAAGGAGGAAATACCGGAATTCCCAGAATCCTTCAGGGAAGGCAATGCCCACACAGAAGCTTCATTGGCTATGACCCAATTGACAGAGTAGATTCCACCCCTTCACTCTTAATCCTCTCAAGTCCCAAATTGACACAAGATTATGTAACTACCAAAAAGTTACCTAAAATAGGAAGTATTTAGAAATAAATTAACGTGAGAAAAAAAGTCTTGTACAAATGAAACTATAAAACATTCATACAAAGAGACACACATCAATGGAAGAATGTACCATATTTAGAAGTCCATTCTCGTTCATTTCATTTTTCTGTGAACTTGTTGAAGCTCCCTTGCATAGGGGGGACAGGGAAAGTGGATGGAAGATTGCACCGATGGTGTACTACGATAGGAACAGAAGGTGGAGTTGTCCAAATAGCCCAAAAGGTCAAAAAGCATGAAGGGATATACTGGATGATGGGGGGAAGGGCTGTAGATCAGCCTCCTCTTGCTGTCCCCTCCCCCACCCTCAGGAGCCCTTTGTGATGAGATCACAGCCCTGTGATGCAGGCATAGGTTTATAGGCCCGCTGTGCTCCAAGTGCTCAGTGTCCTGAGAGCCACAGTACTTGTCACATCATGGAGAGTTACCTCTGTGTCTTGAGAAGCATCACTGCTACATTGCTGAACTCCAGCTGCCTTTACTGGGCCGCTGAAATCATCTTGGCCATTGGATGTGGAGTGTGGCTCTCCTTCCTCCTCTTCTCCGACTGTCCTGTTATTCCACCCTCAGGATCCACTAAGAAACCACGAAAGATCAGGACAGTGAGTACCCTTTGGCCCAACCACATCAGAAATGGATTCTCTTTTTCTGGTCCCATTTCTAAATCAAATTCAGAAGGCTCTGAGATGGGAAATCTCAGGAAGGAATAGAGCATCAGACTTCTAGAGGTAGGTGGGACAGGGCAAGATGGGAGATGGGCATCAGGATTTCTCCCTGAAGATCTCAGAGCATCTGGCTGAGTGTGGAAGGGTTTTAAGGGGGAGGAGGAGGGGGGATCCCAAACAAAGTGACTTAATGGCTAAAGCCTGGATTACTGGGAGTTTGGAATCCCTGAGAGAAGAGAGAAACCTCACACGGGCTCATCCTTAGCCTTCCTGAGGCAGAGATCTCGGAGTAAAGGCCTCCTGTTGTGTTAGACTAATCTGAAGCATGGTGCTGAATGCCTGAGAGCCTGATCAAAAGGTGTTGCCTACCTCTGCCCTCCAGAATCCAAACCCTACCACCAGAGCATAGAGGCATCTCTGGAGGTCCAAGAGGGTACTTCATTTGTGAGCTGAAGGAAACCAGGCTAGATCTCATGTGGAAAACCCTTCAGCGAGGTGCAGCATAGCACCGAGGAAGCATACAACTTTCCTCTAGTTCTTTAATGCTGCCTCCCCCCCGCCACTATCATGATCTCAATTCCACCATACAAATCCCGCTAGACCAGAGGATGTACACTGGTACAGATCAGAGCTGGAAACACAGGGAATCCAAGACAGATAGATAGACTCCTCAAGACCAATAATGAGAGTAGCGATACCAGGAAGGGAAGGGGAAGGTAGGGGAGAAAGGGGGAACTGATCACAATGATCTACATAGAACCCCCTCCCTGAGGGATGGACAACAGAAAAGTGGGTGAAGGGAGACATCAGACAGTGTAAGACATGACAAAATAATAATAATTTATAAATTATCAAGGGTTCGCGGGGGAGGGAGGAGGGGGGAGGGAAGGGAAAATGAGCTGATACCAAGGGCTCAAGTAGAAAGCAAATGTTTTAAGAATGATGATGGCAACAAATATACAAATGTGCCTGACACAATGTATTGATGTATGGATTGTGATAAGGGTTGTACGAGCCCCCAATAAAATGATTAAAAAAACTCAAAACCCCTCAATGAGTTCTTCAAAGGAGAGCAACATGATTGAATCCACTGCAAAACGAATAATAAGAAGCCCTGGTTGTATAGTGGTTATGTGTTAGGCTGCTAACCTCTAGGTGAGCAGATCAAAACCACTAACTGCACCATGAGAGAAAGATGAGGCTTTCTAGTCACATAAACCATTATAGTCCTGGAAACAGCCATTTCTACCCTGCCCTAGAGGGTCACCGTGAGTCGAAATCAACCCAGTGGCAGTGAGTGTAAGAGTAAAATGGTTACAACGGGGAAAGCAGAGCACCATGAAACAGATGTAGAAAGTCATGATAGTTATAAATATGAAATGCATGCAGCTTGTTCAACTGGTTTAAGATCCAGGCCCTCGTTCTTTTCTTGTACCTCAGCCTCAAGTGGACACGTGGAGGAACAGAAAGCGGAATAAACACAACCCGGTGCAAGGTAAAGTTGTGCTTTTCAATGGGGATCCCAAGCATGAACCCCAGCGTCATTCCTGTGAACTAGGATTGATACTGGGTTTCCAAGGATGCTAGTTGCTGTAGCACATTCTTGGAGGGAAAGCAGCTCTGAGGAGGGATGCTTCTGACATCCTCTGAGATGCCTTCCGTGGAGTAGGAGCCTGTGTGGGGTTATAAGATTGGCTACCTGGAGATTTAGGTGGAGCATCCAAGGCCAAATAGAACAGGCTGTTGAACTTCTCCAAGGCACGACTTCCTCATTGACAGGGCACAGAGGATAAGCCCCTCATACACATTCGACTGGCTATGAGGGTCAGTGAACAAGTGACCTTCGAAGAAAAGGTGGAGCTCCCAGTCTCAAGTTCCAACAGAATTCATCAGGAGTAGCCAACCAGTCTCCTGGGCCAAGGGTCCTAAGGCCCCTTGTCATCACCTCAACCTTCTGTCTTGATTTCCAGCTTTAGGAAGTGGCCAGAATGGACAGGATGAGGAGGGGCACCACTGGGTGTTTCGGCAAACGTGAGTAAACTTTCCCTTCTCTTCTGTGTCCATCCTTTTACTAAGGAGTGACTCCAGGGCCACAGGGCAGCTAAGACTGACGTGGAGGTCACCCTCAGGTAAGGAATGCCATAGGAGCCTTGGGGGTATGGGGTGGGCCATGAGCTCCATGATGGCGAAGGATTGGGGGTTGTGGAACAGGGTAAATCAGGTTGTGGGAAACAATGGGTCATGTCAGATTCTCAGGTGAGTGGTTAATGGCAGGGCTTTAAGAGTGGGGGGAAGGTAACTTGGGGTTTGAGGACGGGTATTGTGATGTCAGAGTGTGGAGAGGGCCTGGGTACCCCAGGTTGTGGGAAATGGATGGGTGGTGTAAGGGTAGGAGAAAGGGGTTAATGACAGGATGTTAGGAGAAGAGGGTATAGCTCAACGTGAAGGCAGAGGTGAGGCCATGCACTGCACATGCCCCCCACGCCCACCCCTGCTGGGCTTGCTCTTTAAGCTCTTTGCAGGGACTATAACTCCCTCCGGTCCTCTGTCTCCTACAGCCAACTGGGAGAGTCCCCTGACAAAGGTCGCTTTCACCTGTTGAAGTATAGCGACCCCTCTGATGCTGAGTGGGAAAGAACGCCTGCCGAAGTCCGTCAGCAGCTAGGTATGGCGCCAGGTGGGGAGACCCCTTCCACTGTCTCGGCTCCTCTCACCCGTCCCCCTCAACATCTGGCCTTCACTGCTTTGCACACACCTCCAGAAGACCTTTCTCACTGGAAGATTGATAGCTCATCTTCCTGGAAAACCACCTCAGAGGGTTCTTCTTCAGGGAGCGCCTATTATTTGACTCCATCTGTCACCATAGTCACAGACAGTGATGGCTCAAGCCTTTCCACAGAAACAGAGTGTTACTCTCTCTTTAACACCGGCAGCCCGAAGTTTCTGGACGTCGACACCAGAGAAGCCAGCAGCTCTTCTGACGCTTCCCTACACCGTGAGTTCCTGGTGGCTAAGGCTGGGGTCTCCTGGAGCTCTTCCCCACTACAGCCGTCCTCTATGCCCGTCAACGGAAGTCCTAATGCCTGCTCAGTTCAAGCATCCTCACCGCTTTCCAAGCCCCAGCCCTCGCCCCCCTCTGAGATCCCAACCCAGCCTTCTGTTGCACCCACGCCACCACCTCAGGCCCCAGTCTTCACCGAGCACCATCTCCAGTCCTCTTCCGGAATCCCACCACCCCCTTCCACAGCACGGATGGAGGTCTATGGAACATCTTGCCCCAAAGTCCCAAATGAGACCCAATCTTCTGTGGCCCAAAGGTCTCGGGAGGAAGTTAGTCCTCAGCATCCCAGCCTTCCTCGGGACAAGACAGCCAGTGAGCCCCCAAAGGTAGACACTAATCTTCCTGGGGATACAGTTAGTAAAATCGAGATCCGAAAACATCTGGAGCAACTCCTTCAAAAAAGGCTTATTCAAAACGAACGAGGCCCGCCCAGCAGGATCCAAACATCTCTCAAACTGGCAAAGCCTCCTGAGAAATTACCGGGGGTGAGCCAGACAAAAGCCCAGCCTGGACCACCCCGGCCTGTCTCTACAAGGCAAAGCAGCACTGGGATCACGAAGAATCTGGGCAAGGGTTGGGGCTGTGGTCCGGAAAACGTCCCCAAACAAACCGCATCCCAGGCCCCTGAAAAAACTGTGGTGAGAGAGTTACGACACCGTAAAGAACTAGCAAACGCCCTGACAGCCCATTTGGACAGGAAGTTAAGGAATATTGTAGAGGGCAAGATTCCTATATGTGTACGCCGCTCCTGGCTTATTGCCAATCTCACTTTGCCCAAGTCTGATCACAACAAAGAAACCGGGAATCTGTTGTCCTCTGAGGACCAGGGACCCCATGTCAACACCATCCAGAAGTTTACGTTCCTTGATCCCGGCATGCGACAGACCCTGGAAGCACACATGATAAGATTCCGTGTGAGGCAGAATTGGAATCTACCAGGCCAGGGAGGAGAGCCTACCCATTTCAATTCGAGGGAGACTCAATCACCGCCCCTTTCACAGCATGAATCTTGGGCTGGCTCAGAAGGAGAGGCTGCCAAGCTCCAGGAAGACTGTAGTAAAAAGGTGACATCAGACACTTCAATCCCCATCCAGAAGAATCCTGCCCTTGGCCCTTTATCTTCTGGTGAGGATGTCAAGGCGTCTCTGAGCCTGACCTTACTTAATAACAACTCCAAGCTGTCAGAGGTCCCTCAGGGTGGGCAGAAGGGTAGGCAGCCTTTCCAGCCCCTGCCAGCCAACATTCTTAGCAGAACCTCTGAGAACAGGAATGCCCAGGGAGTTAACAGTGACAGCCTTGAACTAACTGCAAGTCCACCAATGAAGTGGAAGGGACCAAGGAGGGGCAGTGTGAGTTGTTTGGATCTCAGGGGCTTGGAGACTCCATGGAAACACCCCGCACCTCCTAGAATGCATCTTCAAGACCTAGAAAATACGAAACTAAACCCACAGATGGTTGGCGAGAAAGAATTAAAAATAGAGGTCGGGACAGCAAAATCGCCCCAAGGCTATCCTAGTATGCTCCCTCAAGCCGGTGCCTCTGGTGTGCTTAGCTTCTCAGATGGCTTAGCTTTTCAGGCCTCTCAATCTCATCCCCATTGTGTGTCCCATGAGCACATGCCAGTTTGGGAATTACTAAGTGACATGATGGGGGCTGGCGAGAGCCATGTCAGGCATCAGGACCTCAAGGGCCCAATCCTTCATGCCCCATGCGGGAATCCGGTGGATGTTTCTGCCCCTCCTGATAGGACACATGATTATAGGAGGAGCCCCAAGCCAAACGAGAGTCAAGAAGGGCTGGCAGGATTGGAGTCCTCCCCCGCCTGTGGGATGCGTGAACGTGCCCAAGAGAAGGGCTCAGTAAAGGCCCAGGGCATCAAGTCCCCCAAACACCTCCCAATAGTGAAGGCATGTCCTCCCACAGAGAAGGGGAATGCTCTTTCAGAGGGCCCCTTCAGGAAGAAAATGAGGAGTTTTTTCCAAAGAATTTGCACAAATAAAAAAGACAAAGGGCAACAGGGCCCTCTACAGAGAGGAAAGCCTGCTTCGGCCTCTGCCCAGAGCCCTGGCTCCGTCAAATACGCAGAAAGTTCTGAGATGAAGACAATTATGTTGGCTATTGACCGGAGTTTGCAAGAGCTTTATGCTGCGAAGTTAAATGAAGAGAAGAACAAAGGCCAGAGATACCAGGATCCAGTTGGGGAGAGTTCACCTAAATTTAAGCCTCCCTGTTCCCTGGAGCACAGGAGTGAAAGGTGTTACGCCTTCTGCTGTCACCATGTCACCCTTGAGAACCAGTGTGTGAACAACGAAGGCAGAAACCCCTGCACAAAGGGGGTATTCAATGCCATTAATCAGGCACTGCCTTTCAGGGGACCTGTGCGCCCAGTCAGGCATTGCCAGCATGGGTCAAGGATATGGGGTGCCACAGGCTGCCCTCACCACTCAGCATTTTACCATCCCCCAGCCACGTGTGCATATCACTCGGGAATTGCTTCTCAAGTCTTTTCCTGTTGTCATGGCAACCCATTCCCTACATGATAACCACACGCTCCCACCCACTGTATCTCCTGTTCCTCAATACATGTACTTTGACTCTTAAAACGGCTTTGGCTTGTGTCTCTGCTCTGCTGGGTGAGGGGAGGGGCCAGTGTCTATCCTCCCTGAGTGCCAGGATGGTTTCTAGAAAGGACAGGCAGGCAGGGAGTTTGACAGTGATGTTGCTCACCCATCTCCACCCCGGGTGCCACATTTGGCACCTTATGTTTTCATAATACCTGGATCAGGAGAAAGACTGGTTTTCCGACTCCCATAGAGAAGCACATTCTGAAAAAATATTTTACCAGGCAATACCACTGGAGAATATGTAACTAAAAAGGAAAACAAAACTTTGTTACTACTTTCAAAAACTTATTTCAAAGGGAAACCTTTAAATAAAAACTTGGTGGAACTCAATACAGAAGATGACAAACATAACAATGTCTGAAGATTCAACCAGGATCAAATAAATAAATTGTAGATTTTGAGGGCTGGTGTGGCACATGCTACAAATCCCCTATCCCAGGAAAATATGCAGAGGGAAATATATGAAAACGCATATTTAGATTTATATATAGGAAAGTAATGTGATTTTTCTTTGTGTTTTTATTTTTTTCTAAAATCCAGCCCCCCCAACACACTCCCTGGCCCTGGTCCATTTCTTAGACCTACCCGTGCCCTGGCTTTAGCCCTGGCCATGACTCTGAGCCTAGCCATTGACCCCTGCCACCTGGCCCAAAATCCACACCTGCTCTGACCCTAGACCCACACATACCCTGTCTTAGTCCCACCCCTGTCCTGTCCATGTCCCTAGTGCCTTCCCCTTGACCACAGCTGCCCTGGCCCTGGCCTTGGCCCTAAGCACAGATCCCTGGTCTTAGACCCACCCCTACCCTGACCCTGGCCCTGGGCCATGGCCTGGACATTTGCCCCTGGCCCTAGACACACACCAACGCTGCTCCTAGCCCCTGGACTCTGGCCCTAGAGCTGCATTTTCCCTGAGTTTGAATCTGGTCCCAACCCTGGCCCCTGGCTTTAGGCACACACCTACATTGGTCTTGACGCAGGCCCTGACCCTTTGTCACTGTTCCTAGACCAGTGGTTCTCAACCTTCCTAATGCCATGACCCCTTAATACAGTGCCTCATGTTGTGGTGACCCCCCAACCATAAAATTATTCTCCTTGCTACTTCATAACTGTAATTTTGTTATTATGAATTAGGCGAACCCTGTGAAAGGGTTATTCAACCCCCAAAGGGGTCTCGGCCCACAGGTTGAGAACTGCTGCCCTAGACCCACACCTTGCCCTGGTACTGACCCTAGACCCTGACCCTGACCCTTGTTCCATGGCTCTAGACCAACACTTGCCTTGGTCCTGGTCCGGCCCTGGCTGCTAGCCCCTGTCCCTAGACCCCCATGTGTCTTGGCTTTGACCCAAGCCCTGGCCCTGGCCAGAGGTTCCTGGCCCTACTCCCACACCTCCCCAAGACCTGGCCCCAGCTCTCAGCCCCAGCTCCTGAGCCTACACACACAGCTGCCTTAGCCCTGCCCCTACCCTTGTCCCTGACCCTAGACCCATATCCCAGACTCACAACTTCTCTGGTCTTGACCCTTGCTCCATGGCCCTATACCCATACTTGTCTTGGCCTGGACCTGGCCACTGGCCCCTTTCTGTAGATCCACACATGCCCCAGCTTTGGCCCTAGCCACTGGCCCCTGCCCAAGAGCTATACCTGTCCTGGCCCTGGTCCTGGAACTTGGACCCTGGTCCTAGGCCCTACATCCATGCATGTCCTTGCACTTGCCCTGGCCCTGACCCTGGTTCTTGCCCCTGGCCCCTGGCCATAGAAGAACACTGAGTCTACTAATTATACTGATTTGAGTTTTGATTCTCATATAATTCCATCAGATTTTCAAAAGCCTGGAAAACTTCATCTCTTAGAAGTTGTACTCCCAAAGAGTTACCTGTTCCTATATTAATTTCATCAAAAGATGTATTCATGAGCAATCCCATCACTAGGTTTAAAAACAGATTGTGTTAGGCACGGTTCTTCAAAAAAACAAAACTAGGACACTTATGATTTTATATATATATGAGGATAGGTTTAACCAGCGAGAAGGAATATAACAGCGAATTAGCTCACACAGCAGTACAGAGGACTCAGTTCAACTCACATTCATGAAACAGTTGATATACTGGAAGTCCTTCAATTCACATGGGCTGCCAGGTCCAAGGTCAAGGAAGCAGACAGTAGAGTGGATAAGCAACAGTCAGTAGAACAGAGCTTAGCAAAGCAGGCCCGATGCGATATTGAACTCAAGCAATGCACAATGACAAAATCCACCAGCCTTAAGCTCAAGCGATGTACACACCAGCAGGGTGGCAAAGCAGGTCTCAAAGGACCCTCAAGCTCTAGTGACATGATCCACGTGGCTTGGCCTACAGGTAGTGGAAAACACTAGTTTAAGCAGCAGCATGCTGGTCCTATCACCAGGGAAGAAGAGTATGATAGGACACTGGCCATCTTTATCTCAGTCACCATCCAGTCAAGCTGCATCCTGATTAAACTCCACCCACATGTGCCTATTGGTCTAGTTGGCACCATAAACCTATCACACAGATGATACTCCTGGTTGTCTAAATCAAGCAACTTGTACATTCACATGACCAGGTTTATTTTATGACCAATGCTCTGACAGTTGCCGATTAATCATAACTTTATATCCGTTGTATTGCAAAGAGTACCACTACAATATTTTGAAAATCGATCAGCCTCTTTCAGTCACTGAGAAGCTAAACTAGCATTAACCTTTAAAGTAAAAGAATGAGAGTTTAATGAAAGACTGGGGAGAGACAAGGGCAGCTTTTAGTGAGAGATAAATGTCCGCTATCATTTGTGAAAATTGTACAGCAATGAATTAGGCATTTTATATTTTTAAACTATTGAATTGTATGACATGTGGATTCTGTGCCAATGAAACAGATTTAAAGAAGAAAAAAAAGAGTTTAAACATCTCCTTATTGGCATGCCACATTTAGATATTGCACCATGATGTAATATTATTTTAATAATTGTTACACTTTTATTTCAAATTATACTATCACAATTATTTTTCCTTAGAATCCAAAAAATTTCTGAGCATACAACTCCTTGAGAAAATGACACAAGAAAAAATTTTTAAAAGAATAAAAATTAAAGAAATAAAAAATAAATAAAATGACAGAAAATGTATTTGCCTCATCTACCACTCCAAACTTAATAGGATTACCCATTCTTCTTCTTGCTTTCCCAAGCATTGTATACCCTTCTTCAAATCAATTAATACAGAATAAGCGCATTTATTTACAGGGAAACAAACAAACAACCCCACAGCCCAAAACAAACTGCTGTCAAATAATTGCTGACTCATTGCGACCCAATACAACATGGTAGGACTGCCCTTGTGAGTTTCCTGGACTGTAACTCCGTGGAAGTAGGAACACCCACCTTTCTCCTGATATCTCCTTACAACAGTGTAAAACAAATGATATCTATACACAGCTGAAAAGGTCGAACAAGGCCCCTCATATTTATTATCCTAATTTTATCTATTGGACCAACTTATCTCCAGGACTCCTTCCCCACATAGGCACTCCTCCTATTCAACTGCCATGAAACCCAGGCACACCAACCCCATGAGGAGCAGGTACAGGAATATTAGGCTTCTGTCACACTACAGTTCCACTGACCATTTTCTTCCACAAAAGGAACCTCTATCCTCTTAATGCAGATACTAATTGTTATTGAAACTATTAGCCTTTTAATTCCGCATAAAGCATTTAGCTGAGAGGAGCCTTGGTGATGTAATTATTATGCACTGGGCTGCTTAACTGTAAGGTCAGGAGCTCCAAGCCACTGGCTGCTCCACGGGAGAAAGATGAGGCTTTCTACTGCGGCAAAGTTACAATTTCAGAAACTCGCAGGGGCAGCTCTAGGCTGTCCTTTAGGATCTCTAGGAGTTGGCATCAATTCAGATGGCAGCGCATAGTAAGACCAGTATTAGCGGCACGACTGACAGCCAATATTCAAGCTGGACATCTATTGATTCATCTTACTGGTGGAGCCACATGAGTTTTAATATCAATGAGGACGGCCACAGCTCGTATTACATTTGTAAAGTCTACTTTTACTTGCTGTGGTAGATAGTATGTCAACTAAACACTCCTGTCTGGAGCTGAGCGTTCAACCTGTCAATCAAGTGGTAACTTGATGACACCTCCTTGGGGGGGTGGCCTTTTGTATAAGAGCAAGATGGAGCAGAAACTCTTCCACTCTGTCACTTCACCTGCCTTCTTCCTCGGACTTCACTAGAACTCTTGGTCTGTCTTCAGGGGTGGTTCCATGTGGACCACCTGTCCCCGAGAGTTGTCAGTGCCCTGGCATGCTTCCACCAACGATGGATCCACAGGAGACTGTGCTCACCCGCCTGTGATCTCCCTACATCATCTTTAGGTGTCATTGGCCTGCAGCTAAGTGGGTCTGAAGGAGGGTCCTGGCTAGCATTGGGCATATTGACTTGAGTTGAACTAGGCTGATGCCCCTTCTTGATAGAAAGTTCTTTCTTGTACATAGATGAGTGTCACTGGTTTGGTTCTCCCAGGCTAACACACATATTGCCCTAGAATTTGAAGTCACACTAATTCAAGCTTATGTGTTTACCCTTCTCATAAGTCTTTATTAGATAATACTTAAAGACCCACCAAACCCATGCTTACACATAGTTAATCCAAGCCCCTGCCTTATCTACACTACTTATATCCGCAGGCGTAGTAACATGATTCCACTTTAACTCTATAACACTTCTACTAATAGGATTAACTTCTAATACCTTCACTATATACCAATGATGGTGTGACATTGACCAAGAAAGTACATTTCAGGTTCACCATACACCTATTGTGTGGGGTCTGGCCCCACAATGGAATGGGTCCCGAGGAGCGGGGGTGCAATTAGCAGAAATAAAGAGACAGAAAGACTGGGGACAGGGGCTCATCTTTCCCAATGCAGGATCAAGATAGAGTGAATGTTTTTTCCAATGGGTCTATATAATTTTCAGGCTAGCAAGCCTCCATTAGGTAGATACCTAACATTGGACAGTGGCTGAACCCTTGGATGTCCTTGAGCTCATTGGGGGCGTAACCGGTGACCAGAATTAGAGGCAGGCATCAGAAGAGGGTCGACTGCCCTTTGAGTGGGGAGGACAATGGAACTGTTTGTTCGCAGAGATAGGTAGCCTCTGACCGCATGGTGAACAGCCCTGTACTTGCAAGAGGCATAATCAAATGTGTTCGTCTGGGTAGACTAGGGGAACAAATTCATAGACACTCATATGTGTATAAGAAAGAGCTTTATAGACAAGAGCACTTGAATATTGAGAAAACATCCTAGCCCAGTCCAGTTCAAGTCCAAAGTCCAACATTAGCCCATATGTCCGATATCAGTCTATGAATTCCTCATGCAGCACATGTAATGACACCAAATGCAGGAAGATTGCAGGCCATTAGATGGAAAGTCTTATGGATCCAGTGGTGGTGGAAAGCATCTCAGCATTGGCGTGGGTCTCCACGTGGCTCCTCCTGTTCCAGGGCTCTAGC